GCAAGCTCCCCGAGAGCCCCATGAGCCCCATAAACCCCACGGGGCACGCGTGCTTTCTAACTGTTCAGGCCCGGCTGTCTCAGGGCACAGGTTTAATTCGCCCATTTCCTTGTGGTGGGGTTGGTGTGAGGCTGACTCCACAGATGAGAAGACAGACTTAGAGGTGGGGGCAAGCGGGCCTCAGCAGCAGGTGGGGACCACACTCTAGACTCCTTCTGCTTGGACTACCTAGCTGGGGAGGCCTGCCCACCACACCACAACCAAATCGCCAAAATCCACTGTTGGCACATGTTGGGAGAATTTTAGAAAGACAAAACTCTTCCCTTACACACACACACACACACACACTCATGAGTAAGAAAAACTCCCATAATCCATGGTCTGGATTAGGTGAATCCTTTTCTCATACATGCACAGACACTAACAATCAAGTAAGGATTTGGCATTTTTAATTACTCATAAGATTATCAGAAGGCAGAGAGAGGGAGCCAAAACTTAGGGAACAGTGACTATTTTCATGTAAGCACTTCAGAATACAGCTGTAAAATATTTAATAACAGTCTCCCAGGCTGGGGTGAGGCGCGGTGGTGGAGCGCTGGTCTAGCGTGTAGTTCTGGTTCAGTCTCTACCTTGGTAGTAGTGTTACACGTTAACGTAGCAATATTTTTTTTTTTTTTTTTTTTTTGGTTTTTCGAGACAGGGTTTCTCTGTGTAGCTTTGCGCCTGTCCTGGAACTCACTTGGGAGACCAGGCTGGCCTCGAACTCACAGAGATCCGCCTGCCTCTGCCTCCCGAGTGCTGGGATTAAAGGCGTGCGCCACCACCGCCCGGCACGTAGCAATATTTAAAGTCGGTTGTGGATAAAACATTGGCTTCTTATCCATAGAGTGTTTAAATGGTTTTTATTTTATTATTTTTTGTTTTTTGTTTTTTTCTTTTTGTTTGTTTGTTTCGAGACAGGGTTTCTCTGTGTAGCTTTGCGCCTTTCCTGGAACTCACTTTGGAGACCAGGCTGGCCTCGAACTCACAGAGATCTGCCTGCCTCTGCCTCCCGAATGCTGGGATTAAAGGCGTGCACCACCACTGCCCAGCTTTAAATGGTTTTTAAATCATAGTTTCTTAAAGATTCATACAGTATAGAGGATCCTTCTGAAACAGCCCATCTGTCACTTAATAAAAGTTTTTAAAGTAGCCCACCCTAAATTTCAATTTGCTGATTTCCTGAGAGGGGAAGAGTGATCATGACATCATCCACACATCATTAGGAAGTTCCAGTATGGTTTGGGGACACACCACAAGTCTGAGTAGCTCATGTGGATGTCCCACTCCAGCCTCCCCCACGAACCTTTAAAATCATAACTTTAAAAAAGACGGGGATTTCAGACAATCACCAGGCATTTCCATAGAGTGAAGTAGAAAGCAACCAGGAAGGAGGTGCTGTAGCTCACTTTGTGTCCTCACACACAACATCCCCCCTCTCCATGAGACACGGTAAGTAGCCTGGTAATATTCCACCCCTGTTCAATGTAAACAGGCTGTTAAATCACACAGAAAAAGTCCACATCCTCCAGACGAGTGAGTAAAACCCATGTTTTCTTCCCCTGAGTCCATCCATGGTAGATTGAATACAGAAAGACCCCACGGTAATGTTCTTACCTTTTGCTTTGGCAGGAAAGATTCTGGAAACAGTATAATGGTAAGTGCATTCTCAGCTCTCTGGCCTGGGCTGAGACTCAGGACAGTCTCCACTGGGGCCCATGGATTCACATTCTAAACCTGTGGCTCCCGGGACCTGCTGTCTGCCCAGGGAAGGGCATTGGTCCCCAGGCTCCCACTAGCAAGACCACAGTGAGGCCTCTGCTTTCATTGTGTTGATGTCTGTGAGTTCCTAGGCAGCCGGGGCTCAGAAAACAGACAGGAGCCCTTCTTCACCTCATAGCTCATCCTACTTCTGGGAAGGGCATGCTGTCGTCCGGAGATGGGCCAGATTTGAGAAATGCAGCTGCAACCCAGATGTTTGTCTTGGGATCTGCTCTGTAGGCTATCCTCAGGAAGAACACGGGGTGGGTGTCAACAGAAAGAATGAAAGTGAATGGAGAACAGAGGGTGGGTGAAAGCAAGGACGCACTATGAAATGAGTAGAAGATCCTGGGGTGCATGATAATAATGGTGAGAGATTGGGGGTTGGGGGCACATGACACCCAATGGGACAGGAAGCACCCGGAACTTGGTCTCCTCTTCCCTAGTGGAGCAAGCTTAGGATGGTCCTGACTCGAGGAGTCCACGGTGCACTCTCAGAGGCCCTTCTGCTTCCGTAGGTGGTTCTCCATGCGTCTCCCAGCCCTGCCTCAACAACGGGATATGCAAGGACTACATCCGCAATTACAGCTGCATGTGCTCCTCTGGCTATGAGGGAAAGAACTGCGCCATGGGTGAGGCTCCACCCACACCCAACCCGGATGGGGGAGGCTCCACCCACGCCCAACCCGCGATGGGGGAGGCTCCACCCACACCCAACCCGCGATGGGGGAGGCTCCACCCACGCCCAACCCGCGATGGGGGAGGGCAAGAACTGTGCCATGGGAGAGGTTCCACCCACGCCCAACCCGCGATGGGGCTCGCCAGGAGACAGGGCAGCTTGATACACTCATCTCGGGGGACACCTTGGTTCCCCTATTCCACCCCACCCCTAGAAATCACCCACAAGTGCTGGCTGTATTCTGTGAGCCTCTGTACCACCCTACCCCTCTTGAAATTTTCATAGCACAGGGTCTCCTTTTCTCCCCTTTCCCAAACATCCCCCCAATCCACAATCGGCACACAAGTTGCAAGGGGTGCACACAGATGTGTCTGACTGGCATGCCAGTCAGGGATACTCTAGAGAGAGAGAAAGCAAAGCAAAGCTTCATAAGTAAATAGCTCCCCGCCCCGCCCCCTGCCACTTCTAAGCTGTAGGGTTTGAATGTAGGGTCTCACACAGGCGGGCACACTCACCCACTGATAGCTCAGTCCTTTTTACTTTCTGTCTTTGATCAGGGTCTCAATATACACCCCAGACTGACTTTGAACTTGCATGGAGCTAGGGAGGGGCTTGGAGATTAAGTGTAGCTGAAGTATTCCTGGTCCTACCCAGCTTCGACGGTCCCGCACCAAGTCAACACACAGAGGCTTATATTAATTATAACTGTTTGGCCATTAGTTCAGGCCTACCACTGACTAGCTCTTACATTTAAACTAACCCATAATTCTTATTTATGTTTAGCCACATGGCTTGGTACCTTTTCTCAGTTCTGCCTTCCCATCTTGTTTCTTTTGTGTCTGGCTGGCAACTCCTGACTCAGCCTTCCACTCCCCAGAATTCTCCTCTCTGCTTATCCCGCCTATACTTCCTGCCTGGCTACTGGTCCCATTTCTGCTCTTTGAAGGAACAATCCAAAGACCGCAGCCTTTGCAGTGGGAAAGGAAACATCTAGGGACATAGATGCGATACCAGTCAGATGTCCAGGACTGGGCGACTCCTCCTGAGGCCGAACAGAGGCGCCATCTCACTGTGTCTCCATGGACATTCCTGGGACACTTGAGTGTGGGAAGCTTTATATGAAAACTGGCAAGCTGGGGAGAATGAGGGCTGTGGACGTAGCTCCACGTCTTTATTTTTATTTATTATTTATTTATCTTTGTACATGTAACATCCAAGCAACACTGGGACAGGCAGGCCAGACCCATGCACAGGTAGACAACAGCGCTGACCATTCTACATCATCGGCATGGCTGGTTTTAGCTTTCTCTTCCCTTTCAGCTAAAAACGAATGTCACCTGGAGAGGACCGACGGGTGCCAGCACTTCTGCCATCCAGGGCTGTCCTCCTACGTGTGCAGCTGTGCAAAGGGCTACAAGCTGGGCACGGACCGCAAATCATGCAGTCCGAGTGGTGAGTTCCTACAGAGGCGGGCCATCGCGCCCTCCACGGCCCCTTCCTTCCCCGTCACGGTTACGGGGTGCAGTGCCGTGGTCAGTGGGATGTAATTGCTGACTCGGGGTTCTGGCCTCCACATGAGAGCAACCCGAGTGCCAGAAGTGCTTTGTGTCAGGAGGCCCATGACTCTATTATCCAAACTGCCCCCTGAACAAGCCTGGGAGCAGGCAGTTCAGCTTCACTTGCTCCCCATGGCCACCAATGACCTCGAGTGCGCCAGCACTCAGATGAGACTTCCGGCTAGTCCACTCGGAAAACACTGATTTTCTTCTCATGTTCCCACCGCAAATGAAGACAAGTGTGCCTGTGGGGCCCTGACTTCTAAACACATCAGGACACTGGAAAAAGACGGCCAGGATCCACCTAGCTTCCCGTGGCAGGTAACAGCGTCCGCTAACAACTTCTGTCCTGTTACAGACGCCATCTGTCATTTCCCCTTTCTGGCCCGAAACAGGTGACGACCGAGAGAATTGGGAACAAACTCTTTCCTGAGCTCCGTGGGCTCTCCTGGAGCACAAGCTCGGCCCTCTGCGGCACTTGCTCCACCTCAGAAGTGTGCATTGGTTACAGCCACCAGGCTACGCCTTGTGCCAGAGCCCAGCCAGGGGACATGGTTATCTGTGCACAGCCTCTGATCCACACACACACACCTCCCCCTCCACCCCCTGGCCTGGACTCCAAGCTGCTCCGTTTCACCTCCTACTTCTCTTTGTTCTCCTTGTCCATTGACCACGAAGCATTCGGGGCCCACTGCCCTGACAGTCGCTCTGGGCAGTATCAGTCATATCTAGATCGATGTGATTGATATATAGAACTTCTCCCTGTCCCCAGCTCCATGCCACGCACTGTAGGGCTCAGCTACCTGGCCACTAATTTAGTCTTCGCTTGCTCTGCTTGTGACCCGGCCACACGGGTCTTGCTTTGTCTCGTGGTTTTGTGCCCCATCTTGGCTTTGATGTCCCTGTGTTCCACATTGTTCACCTTATGGGTCACCATGGCAGCCTTTGACCTCTAGATCTTAATGTCCCATAGAGCAACCTTGTTCAGAAGGGTATGGTACTCACAGTGCAGGCAGCTAAGAAGTTTCCGGTAGTCACACTAATATAAGTAAAAACGGGACAATAATTGTAATGTTTTAATTCAATCCAAATATATACTAAATGTTTATAAATATAAAATATGTCAGATTTCCCTTTTCTCTATATGTATATATATGAGCAACATCAAATGGACTCAGTAGTGTGTGTGTGTGTGTGTGTGTGTGTGTGTGTGTGTGTAGCGAGGAAGAGGTCATGAATTTGAGAGGGAGTTGGGGGAACACACACCTCATAGGTCCGTGTGTTTAGGGCTGACCACGTGGGATAACCTATTAGGGGGCTCGTCCCTGGAGAACCCGATTCTTCCTTTCTCAGTAGTCATCAATGGGCTGTTCTTTAAGGGTGGGGCTTTGTGAAATTTCTCCACCCACATTAGCACGTCAGCTGGTGCTGTCATTATGCAGGTCTTGTTTAGGCACCTGTACTGCTGAGATTTTATGGATGTGGCTTCCCTGTTGTGTCTAGAACACTTTATCTCACAACAGGCATCCTGGTCTGGGTTTTTTTTTTTTTTTTATTCTCCCCCTTCCTGAAATTCCCCTGGGCCTTAGGTATAGTGGCTGCATTGAAGATGTATCGATTATGTCTGGGGACCCCACAGCCATTGATTCTCTGTATTTTGACCAGTTATGGACTTCTGTAACAGTCTCCATCTGCTGCAAAAGGAAGATAGAACTAACATTTATCAGGCTGTGCCTGACCCCAGCTAGGCCTGGCAGTGTGAACGTGGCCCGGGTGGGTAAGGTTTCAGGCTCCTCTCTGTCTTAATCTGCTGCATCTAATCTGATGTGAATCCCACAACCCACACCCTGTAGCCATCATCTACATACAACTTAGACCTTTTCTCTGCTTTGTCTCTGCTTATTTCTCTGGGTTTCTGGAATAGTAATTACTGCTCCATCATTCTGCCTTCACCTAACAGTTCTGAGTCAGCTCCATCATCCTGCCTTCACCTAACAGTTCTGAGTCAGCTCCATCATCCTGCCTGTGCCTAACAGTTCTGAGTCGGCTCCATCATCCTGCCTGCACCTAACAGTTCTGAGTCAGCTCCATCGTCCTGTCTGCGCCTAACAGTTCTGAGTCAGCTCCATCATCCTGCCTGCGCCTAACAGTTCTGAGTCAGCTCCATCATCCTG